CCAGCATAATTGCGAGTATACATAATTAGACAATTTCAGTTAAGTCATGTTTCTATTTTATAGGATGGGCGTCTCTCTTCCAAGTGGATCAGATGTGGTTAGTCGATAAGGCAATAAACGTCGGCAATCGATAATTACTAACGATCAATAGATCAATTTTTGTCTTTTTACAAGAAATACAGATAAAATCATTGACTGCAAATTGTCTCTATAATTTTATTAAGTAATGTTAATGTGTTCAATAGCTTAAAAATATTATAGTAAACTGTAAAGCATATTTTGGAATTATTTTAAAGATATTTTTTTTATATTTAATAGTCAGTTTCAATAATAAAACTTTCCACGAACTTTGGCAAAATTTTGTCGTACTTATTTGAACGCTCAAATTCTTCATTCACTTATTTGATTTGACAAATGATTATATTGTGCAGTTCAGTGTGAACTCGCGTTGGTTAACACTTAGCTCGTTAACAGAGTTCTTTTATTAACATTACTTTATCTTTAGATAAATTTGGATAGTGAGGCTATAACTGACCATTAAAGCGGACGTGTTATTCAATGTAATTGTATCTTAATTGTCATTTTAACCAAAGGAAATCAAGGTTGGCAACGATAAACAAACGGCGTATTTAAAAACTTCGGTCGAGATCAACATAAGCATATACGTCGTATATTAAAAAGAAAATGAAAAAGAAAAACGAAAATTATTAAGGAAATGCTGTCATAAAAAGAAAAAGGAATCAGGCAAATTCAAATCCATTTTCGTTTAAAATGCGAAAAAACTCGTTTTTGGTAATCTCCCATTTAACGTAAAACAGGTCATTTGTGCAGTAAAAGCTATTTATTTATCTAATTAACATCTCTCTATGTGTACTCCAATAAGTGATTAAGTATTGTTATTTTTGGCAACCCTTAAACGTGATTACATTACGATATCTGAGTTTAGACGTCAGCATCATAAAATACAACAAATTTAATATAGCTTTCAAACCAGTTCCCCCCGTTTCACACCAGACGATTACGTCAACGCCTAAAAAAGGCGCGAGGAAGCATCACAAAACCTGCCCAGAGGCCATTTGATCTTACTGCTGGACGAAATATCAGACCTCTGGAAAATAAAAAATTGAGATTGCATACTTGCAGTCGTTTTAAATTTTTCTCGTTTCCATGCGATCCAGCCGCAATTTCTGCCAGGAGATTCCTTGTTCCATTAGTTTATTTCTTACGTGAGTTCTTTTTGCACTTTCTGCCTTTGATTTCGCTGCTTGACTAGCCCTTGGTCCCCAGCGTGGGCAGTTTTGAACCCAACTGGAAGTGAAAATTCTTGTTATTGGACGGCAAAAACACAGAGAAAGAAAAAGGGAGTTTGGATTTGTTTTTTCTTACGTTTGAATAACTATCACAGATAGATTCGATTAAGCAAAAAGATTCTGTCATATACTTTAAATAGAGGTAAGTACATTGGCGGAGACAGGGAACTGGATGAAAGTTGCGAATCATTTAAAGCCACTAGCCACCAGCTACTACCTGTTTTACATCTAACCGAGATAGTTCGCCGATAATTCACCGATAGCTCGCCGATAGTTCACCGACAGTCGACCGATAGCTCGCCAATACTTCACCAGCAGTCAACCGATAGATCATCAACACTATCGGCCGATAAATGGACGCTCAAAAGAAAGATATTGGTGGAGTGTCGGTCGAATGTCAGTCGAATATCGGCCGAATGTCGATCGAGTGTCGGTTGAGTATCGGCCGACATATCGATACTGGACCGATAGTCGGTCGACCGCCACTCGGCCGACATATTGACCTATAGTGCCGACCGATTAGTGTCGACCGACAGTACCTACAGTAAACATAGTCCGATCGATATACAAACAACAAATAATATTTAAAATAATTTGTCGTTGAATTTTAGAGTAGTGGTCAGTTTTACATATCTTTTCAATGTTTATGATACTGTGCATATTTATTCAGTTTTAAGATAATGGAATCTGTTGTTTAATAATAAGCTTCTCGTTATGAGATGTTCTCAGTAATGAAGACTTCAAGTGCTGCGTCTTTTCTTGTCTTCAACCCACTATTTTTGTTGTCAGGGTTATTTACCTTTTTTGAAAACAGCGTGACAACCGTAACGGAGGTGAGGCCAGTATCTCAAAGATAAGCGGATTGTAGTTGTTCCAATCAGCATCATGCAATGATGAAAACCCACTCAATAACAATCTGGTAAACTACCCAATCAGATATTAATACTCCACGATATGAATTAAAGAGAAATTTACTTCTGATATCATTACTTATGATTTTAGATTTCCACGGAAAAGGTAAAGATTTTCAATATATTTTGAGGCATTTGTTTTTACTTTGGGTCACTGAGCGTAATGAATTTTATAATTTTAGAGTGTTGGTGAAACATTATGTAAATGCATTTACTACGCTTGAAAACATTTACTGAGTGGAGACGTGAGAACATTAAATGAGTTCAAAGCAATATTTGGCGGTGAAACTAGAAGAATTTTAGCGCTTTTTGACGTCAGGGAATAGGCCCAGTGTCGGTTCTGAAATGGTAGCTGTAACATTGAAAGTGCTATTGAAAATATTGGGAATGAATCATTGCTTCAACCTCAACGTTGATGAAAGACAAATTTCCTAAGAGGCCCTTGTGACGTCACGGCCTTCACTCGAGGGCTGCTGCTAATCGAAATAAATATGGCTGACCGTCGGCGAGTGCGGCTGGAATGCTCGGATGGATCCGTTTTTACGCACAGAGAATTGTTCGTTTGACTGGGGTTATCTTCGCTAAGGTAAAAGCTGAAAACGAGCGTAATATCAAGGCTTTAATATTATAGGCATGGATTTGAGTGAGTGATCATTTTGAGATGAATGAAACGGGCTCGCGATCTAGTGCCGGAATGACTTCACCACGACATCCAACGCACCAAGCCGTAATGGATAGACTGCGGCAACGTTTCAGCCAGTACCGAAAGCGGCACTATGACTGCCAGAAACAATATGCAGAGTCACTGCCAGCTGTTCAGGACATGGAGAGACAAGAAGCACTGAATTTGCACAAACGTGCTTTAGATAGCCGCAATAGGATGATGAACATGAACGGGAAGACATCAAAACAAAATGACGGCGAAGGCAAAGTAGAACAGCAACAAACAGCAAACGGATTTGAAAAGTCAACTAATGCTATCTATCAAATACGCGAGGTACGTAGTTACTTTTTTGTGTAGTTGCATGATCGATTTTTTAACAGAACAACACATATCAGCATATGTTTTGATCGGCATTCATTATGATGACATGAATGCGTGGCTGTTGTTAACGGTATCGTTCCAATTGTTTAGGTTAGGTCTAGTGTAAAACACGCGCTCTACTTTCCATATTTCACACTAACCGTAGCTCATTGTACTTATCCTGCCAGCAGCAAATCCTATTGAAGAAGAGAAAACACGAACAGAATATGAACAGTACACAGAATTCGTACGTGGAATCGAATGATGACAACCTAGGAGGGGAGTACATGAGCAAGCTCCAGAGACATGATGGTGTTTTGCATGTTTCGTCGACAGAGGGACAAAATACTGTCGTTTCGGTTAATCAACCACACCGGATAACACATGCTCCAAGTCAAGTGCATCAACCTAATTTCAATCCCATTTCAATCCACGAAACTGTCGGAACAGAAACGTACGCTCGTAGTGGAAGCCACAGATTGCCGCTTGATTTTAAGCGAGAGAAGGGTGCGATCGATTCTTGCGATGAATCCACGCATTCTGAAAATGGCCCGGGAACTGTGGTTAACGGTGAAGACTACATACGACAAGAGCTTATCCATTTTGAAAACGTAATTAAACGCTTTAATGAAGACAGTGCACCTGCCACGTCGCAATCAATGCACTCAAGTGACAGAGCTTCACTGAGTGGTATCGATGACAAAAAGAAGCACCCACAATCTCTTCAATTGAAAGAAATTGCCAGGAAGTCACAGTTTGCTCAGGCTCAGCCTGTAATGTCATTTGGGGAAAGCCAAGAACGACCTAAACAACACTCTAGTCAGTATCCTGTTGGCCCAACAGGCCAACAGTCCCCTGGTTTACGGCACCCCTACACAGCAGGTAAATACCCTGAAGGTTTGTCAGTCATTTCAAATAATCAGCGGCAATTACCTAGGCAGTATCAAATGGCTCTGTCATCGCAGTCACCATTACAACAACAACAACAACAACAACAACAGCAACCACAACCATTTTATGGTTTTCAACAGGACAGCTTACCAAAACTCACCCACATGCCTTCACAAGTCCAACAGCTGTTCGCTCATAAATTTCAAAGTCAACCAGTTATTTCATCGTCATCACAGGTGGCAGGATTAAGAGGACCAGTTTCTTCACATGACATGACAAGATACACCATTCCTCGATCACAAACACAATATCAGCGTCAAAAGTCAATGCCACCATTACAAAATCAACCCTACTCAAACTCTGACTCACAGTACCAACAACAAGTTGGTAGTTACCAGGGAGACCTATCTGGATTTTCAGATCAAACCAATACTTACCATTATCAGCGGAGAAACTCTTTTCCAATTTATCATCGTACAAATAGCCAGCCACAAGAAAATTTCTCACGTGGAATGCAGCACACTTTGGGATCTAATCAAGCAAGTCTTCTAAGAGGTGTTTTACAAACTCCTTCCCAAAATGTTGTAGATGATAGAGATTCTTACTTGATGAATTCCAACATGAGTTTTTCATCATCATCTTCTCCGCAAACAGTACCATTGTTACCCAGAAGGACACCCTCTTCTAATGGTGATCTAAACACAGTAGGTCCTGGCTCACAACATTCATCAATGATGTATAGAGGAAGTATTCAACAACAACAGCAGTCTGATTCAGTATTACAACAGGGAAGTGAATTTCAGACTTCTTCTGTGCCCCTCAGAGAAATGACTGAGCGATATTCATCTGTGACGGAGGTTGATGCACAGTATGGTGGGATCCCGCCTCTAAGTTCACTTGATAAAGCACCTTCATTTACATCTCTACTTGAACAGTCAGCCATTAATCAAGGGAATCTAGAAACAACTTACACAGGATCAATACCTAACCTAGATTTGCTTGGTGAACTCTTAGGTTAGTGATACTAAAAGTAGAAACATACCAGTTTGTTTTTTTCTTCTTTAACGTTTAGTTAATCAAGTTAAGTTTTATTCCTGTGGGAAAAAGGGGGCTTTTATGACCCCACATTGGAACAGAGTAAATGTTTTTAACATCTGACATATTTAGTGTTTTTGGGAAAATAATTTCCATTAGAGAACCTTTTTTTAATTGAAAACTTTTTTTTTTAATTTGATGTTTTGTTTCTAGGTTGTTTAAGATTCTCATTTTTTATGCTCCATCATTTAACACAATTACTTCAGCAGCAACCACCAAGTGTTTTTCTTTTAGTTACCAGGAAAGTTGATAAAAAAAAAGAAAGAAATTGAGAATTGTCTGAACCCATCTCATTGAGGGAATTTTTTCGGTGGTCCAGGTTTCTTTTCATGTTGTATGGCAGAGACTTTATCACCAAGTTTGGTTCTCAAGATTTCAAGCTTGTACAATGCACAATTTTGTCTACTGAATGGTGACTTGAATTATCAAAGAAAAATAGGATTGATGTTGTGCAAATAAATGGTCATGGTTGCCACAGGACAGGGAAAAGGTGGGAAGTTAACTTTGACTTGTGGAAATTTTACATCTTTGAAAAAAGTCAGGAAAAAGTGTAATTTTAAATAAACAAGAAGTTGGTCTTGGCCCTGAAGAAAGATGGTGACACTTTCTTTATTGTGATGTTGACATTACTCATGTACTTTGTCTAATACAGTTGATAGATTCCTGACCAACATGTCCTTTCCCTTTGTAATATTCAAGTTGGTGTGTGAATGAAATCATACATTTTCTTTTTCTGTTTTCATTGTTTCTAATATTTGAAATTCTTGGGTGTGTTTTGTGGACTTGAAAGGTGTTGGATTGGTAGTATGTTGTTTAACATATTTAATGTCATCTCAAGGGGCTATCCATTCATATACACTGTATGTGATTTGTGAAAAGCATAAAGGTATGGGTGGAGAGAGTGGCTGTGAGGGGAGGTTGCAGGCCATTATGAGGGCTGGTTTGTGAAATTGTGAATTCGGTTGGTCTGGTAAATTTATGTTTCTTAGGGGAAAAGTCAGAGAATTTCCAAATTCTGTGACTGTGGCAACCATGATAATGACAAATACTTTTAAGGTGATACTCAGACTCTGCTGTATTTCTATGGTAAATTTCAAAATTCTTGAGGAAAGTATATTTAGAACAACCACATGTACTGAAGACACCATTTACATGTGACATAAGTGTTAAAAAGCAGCAAGTTAGTCTGAGTAATTTATACATTTGTAACTTGATATGCTATATCTGTTTATCTTCCTTTAAGTTTTTATCATAATATATCTGACAATACCTATATTTTACTTCAACTTAATTTTTTTTTTTGGTTAGTGCCTAAAATACAAATATATTTCTTGTGCTTCCCTTGTAATCCTGGGCATAGCCCAAAATACTAATTCAGAAAACTTTTTATTTAGCTTTTACTTCTTCAAAATATTATAGAGTCTGAAAGTGTCGTCTGCAATTTTCTGTAGCTATTCTAAATTGTTTCCTATTTCCTTGATGTAAAGTGCCATGTTATGAGAATAGAAAACAAGCCATTACCCAAAATTAACTGTTGTTGCAATAGACAAAAAAATTATGTCACCCCCTATTTTCCTGGGTAACCTGGGGAGGAAATTACTCAGTAAATGTTGAGCTTTGTTTTTGTTTTGTTTTGTTTTGTTTTTTTCTTACATGTAAGAGTGCTCATAGGTGGAGAAAGCATTTCAAAGAGTCTTGGCATGGTTTCTGAAAGACATGTAATTTTACCTTCATCAACATAGATTTCAGTGAAATGGATGCAGCTTAAGGCCTTTAACACTGGAACTCAGTTTTTAAGTTATAGTGTATACATAGTTTGGGCATTTGTAAAGGCTTATGGATGTGGAAATTTGTTTTAGTTGTGTTTGTCTGTAGAGAGGTGGTGGATTAATGTAACAAATTCTTGAAGGGATATCCCAAAATTGTACAAATGTCTTTGACATAAATACATTGAGCCTGTTCATTTGAAATTCGCTTATTGGAAGATGGTTTTGGTCTGTCACTCGCCATTATGTACAGGGAAAACTACCTGTGGATGTGCGTAAATAAATACAAGTCATGTACACTTAGTGGCCCATACTTCTGGAAATTGTGCTTGTTTCCATAAGAAAAAGAAACTTGGAATATTGCTTCTTTTCCCTGGATGTGAATTTGCCAGTAGATTTCAATAGATTTCTGGTACCATGCAAGTTACCATTTGAAATCCTGGATTTAGAGGAGCACTCTGATTGTGAAGTAACTTGTCTACAAACCTTATGTGGGTACGAACCTGATGTGATGAGAGACCAGAATTTCAATCTGAAACTTTCAATCTGAAGTCTAGCATGCTGGCCATAAGGCTGCTACATTTCCCATTTTATAAGAGCAAATTCCATTAATGCTTATCACAAATGGTGAATTTTTCAGGCTGTTTCTGTACTAAGAAGGATTGGGAATTAAAATCTTTCGTTGGAAGTGGTTGGTTGCTTATGTTGTTGAAGACTTTTCTTTTGGGTGATGGGTGAGTTATTTTATGTGAAATCCATTTGATTTTTGTGTTCGTAGTTAAATTTCCCTAACAAGAAGCTGCTAGTGGCACCTCTGGTTGTGAAATGTGTTTGATTTCTATGTTCCTAATTAAATTACCCTAACAAGGAAGTGCAAGTGGCACTTTTGATTGAGGGACTCTGTTGTAGACTTATTTTTTTTAATACAGAAACAACTGTGAAGCTTTTAAGAAAATGATATGTAAATAAAACCAATTGAGAATTTGTTTTGAACAAAACTCAATTATGTGATTTCTTTCATCATTTGAAAGATATCTGTATATATGTATATTCTACATCTGTGGCATTACTGGAATGTAATTGTTTGTCAGAATACAGTATAAGTATGCATACAAGAACCTGCACCTTTTTCAGTTAGGTTCTTGAATAAACAGTATTTACTTGGAGGTTAGACTATTTAGGTTTATGCAACAGGTTCTTATTTTTGTTTTTTAACTTGATTCTAGTAGTACCATCTTTTTCTCATCAACAAAAGACAACTTTGTGTAATTACAGTTTTGTACAATATCTACACGTGTGTATATGCAAAAACCAAATGATAGGGATTTGACAGGAAGTGATGTGATCTTTGCTTGTAATTTCCAAAGTCTTGCAGCCAAGAAGGTTTACATGATCCAACAAAATCTGACTTCTAGTTTCAAATTGTCATACACTTGGCTTCAACTTCAAAAGAGTTTAAGGCATGTTTCTGAGGTCGTACACTGAAAATCATTACGGATTGGCAACAAAAAAGTCTGCAGGCTAACATTTATAAAGGTCACATCAGCCAAGTCACTTTTACTGTCATTGAAGGATAACCACTTTAATAAAAAGAAACACCCATCTTGAGCAATTACCACTCATTAGAGAGGTTTATTGGACCTCAGCTTTTTAGATTACAACTTCATGGCCTCATTGAAAGGGTAATGTTCAGATCTAAACATCACATTTGTTGTTCACTGTAATGGGATTGAATCACTGTAATTAAATTACTATTTTGTTATTTTGCTGTAATTTTTTGGTTATTTTACTCTCATTGGCTTTAAGTTCATTCTTTTTATTTATTTAACTAGGCAGCCCAAACAAAATTGTACCACAACAAATGAAGCTTTACATAGAAGTCTGTAACTATATTGTAACCATATAGTTTTGCTCCCTTGTTCTGTAACTTGTACTTATTTTTACATTATATTGTACAACTCTACATATTTTCATGCCATAATAGATATACGTCCTACCCCGTTATGATTTGTTTACAATTATTAACTTTTTAGATTTTAGATTTTTTGAAAGATTTAAAATTTTGTAAATAGCGATTTTTTTTAACCTGAGAAAGGCCAAAATAGCAGAAATATTGTCATTAAAGTCTTAAAAAGCTAAGTGTTATCTTTGTTTATCTATCCATAAGTCCAACCATTCATCCATTAATATTTGTATAATAAGCTCAGTTATGCAGGCATTCTGATTGGTTCTCATATATGATCTGGCTGCGCCTTGAGTGCCACTTTTTTGTTCTTACCACATTTTGACATCATCTGTGATCTATTACTAAACAGACGCATGGCAACTTGGAATCTATTTGTTAAATGTACATATTGATAGTATATGGTGTATATACATATATTTATATCAAAGTGAATTCACCAGAACATAACCAAGGGAGCAGCAAACTCAAATTCCATTTCAAAGCACATATTAGTGAAAATTGCTATGCGTGCCTTCATGCGAAAACTTAGCCATCAGGTTTTTAGGACTCTCAACCACCCTCCAACTACAGGGTGTTCACCCACTAGCTGAGCTGTTGTAGGGCATGAACCTAACTGTCAATCTTGTAACAACAGGCATGTTTTTTGGAAATCCAAGCAGATATATATGAATATATACCACAGTGATTTAGTTATAAGGCTCACAGTTTTTGAGTTGAGCAGGAACTGAGCAGGAGTGTTATGGAAGACAGATATTGCATGCAACACATATAGTTAACTGAAAACTTTTCACAATAGAAGAATACATTGCTTGCATCTACCTGTTGATATGCATGGTATCAGAGCTTGTTCATGCTATAAAATTATTTTTCAAAACTTATGAAATCCTATACCTCTAATCAGACTGCAGGGCACAATCTCAAGTAGAAAAAGTGCATGGAAGTCAGATTTTCACAGAATTTCTTTTGACTTGTTCTTCCAAACTTTCAAGAGTATCACAGATGGCTGCTATGGGTTATGAAAAAGGCAGGGAAAAAAACATTTCTTCAAGGTCAAGAAAAGATGGAATTTTCACTTTGAGTCAGGGAAATTTCCACACTGAAAAAAAGCAAAGGAAAAGTGATATTTTTACTAAATGATTACAATAGATTTTACTCTTTCTTTTTTGTAAAGCTGGTGTCACTCACGCTACTCATGTACATTGTTTACAACAGTTGATAGATTCCTGAACAGCTCATCCTTTCTCTTTGTTATGCAAGTTCGAGTTGGTTGTAAATGAAATTGTACATTTGTTTTTTCTGTTCTTATTGTTTTCTTACATTGTGAATTCTAAGTTACATTTCAAAATCATGAAAGGTGTTGGAAGGGTAGAAGTCGTGTGGAGAGGCTGGCTGTAAGTGGAGGATGGCGGCCATTGTCAGGGTTCGTTTTGAAAGTTTTAATACAGTTGGCCAAGGAAAATTTAGTTTTGTCTGGGAAAATTCAATTAAAAGTCGGGGAATATCAAATTCCTTTGAATTTGGCAACCAGATGTTTGTTTAGCATGGTGCTTACGCAACATATCGCTCAAAATTCAATCAGGGTATTTTCCATATCAGAAAATATGACCACTCAAACCCATAAATAATTTTTGGAATCGCTCGGCATTGCTTAAAAAGGTCATAAATACTCAGTAAGTTTAAATAAGGTTTCCTGTGGGATGATAGAGAAATTTCTGAGTGCTGGGCATTTAGACCATTTGAGACCGTGCCCGGCTGCTTTAAATTAAAGGTCCTTTTAAAACAGTTACGCTGAACCTGTCCGAGGGTTTAAGTTCAACCTTTGCCTAAGAAAAAAGAAAGAACCAGCCGGGTTTTCTCGGGTTGACCACCGTTTTGGAAAAAATTGACTGAGCACCTGTGGGGTTGAGGCAAGAGAGGTTCCAGGAGAGGTCTTCAGCAATCTTTGGCACACAACCGATCACGCGATGACTCACGCGATATTCAAGTCAATATGGCGACTAAAGAGCGAGAAGAACTGGGTACGAAGAAGAAAGAGAAAGCGACCAAACTGGCGACTCGGCAGAAAAAAACTATAAAAAAGTACAAACAAGCAAAACAAAGGAAAGGTAATCTAGTTTTTTGATTTAAGTACAGAGACGTATCTTATTCAAAATTTTAAACTACAATTTAATACGATAATATGATGATAACAATAATATTGCTTTATTTATGTACCGCTATTTCCTGTAGCTCAATAGCGCTTTACAATTATTACGATCAAAAATAAAAAATCGAAATTTTACAATTGCAATATTGGAGCCGGGAGGAGAGATAAAAAACCATCAATAACTGGAGGAGAATTTAACTTTAAAAAAACTGTCGCATACTTAACTAATTATAAGATTGATTAAAAATATGTGTCTTTAGAAGGATCTTAAAATTTGATAGTGAGCTGCTCTGTTTAATATTGTTGGGAAGAGCGTTCCATAAGCTAGGTGCCGCGAAAGAGAAACACCTATAGTCATAACTTACTATCTTGACAGATGGTACTTTCAGTAAATTCTTGAGAGATGATCTCAAATTCCATAAGGCTCGAGCAGGTCAGTAACTAAGCTAGGTATTATCAACTAAGTTGATAACGATAATTGGCCACCGTAAAGAGTTTAAAAGCTGACTTTTCGAGCGTTAGCCCCTCGCAGCCAGGAGCTTGGCCGTTAAGCGCTTTGTAAGTTAATAGTAATATCTTTCGATTGATTTAATGGTTAACTGGAAGCCAGTGTAGCTGCTTTAGGACAGGCTCGATGTGATCATCCTTCTTGGTAAGAGTAATAACGTAGGGCGCAGCATTCTGCACATTTTGCAGGCGATCTATCAGAAATTTGGGTAGTCCACACAATAACGAATTTGCATTATCTAGCTTAGATGTAATGAATGCGTTACTAACTTTTCGGTGTCTGTTAGTGATAAACAGTCTCTTCTCTTGCTGGTATTTCTTCGGCAGAAGAAACAGGCCTTACAGGTACTGGTCACATGTTTATCTAGAAGTATGTACTCATCGACAATGACTCCAATATCTCTTGCAGAAGGGGATAGCTTGATCTGTTTACTAGACACATTGAGTGTACTCTATTGATGGGGGTGGACGGTGTCGTGCACTCAAGATCAGTAGCTTTGTCTTTCTTCTGTTCACTTTTCAACACTTCGAATCAAAATCACGCACCGAGTTTACTTTGGCGCGTATCATCGATGCTGAAAATTAGCCCGGTAAAAATGATTCCAAAAACACAGTAACAATCGCCTGTTTTTGTTTGATGAACACGAGGCTTCTGCTTCTGATGGTCAACTCGCCAGCATAGCGGTCACTTGGCTGATATACTTAGTCACCTCTTTTCTTTCAAGAGGTCAATCCAAGATTGATATTCATTTGAAAGAATTAAGTCAATGACCTCTGTGAACAAACAACAAATGCAGCCCTAGTTCTTTTGCTTCAGGGAATGTATTGGTAACGGAAATTCACACCCGTTGTCCAGAGCAAATGTAACAAAGGTTTAGGTTCTTTTCGTGGAAGCCTAAGCTACTGTTTGCAGGGATAGCCGTTCGAGAGAAGACTGGTCACAAATGAATTGACACTCCGTCATGGCGATATGCATTAATGTGTAGCCCCACGTTGAACACTGAAGTGTCATGGCGCTTTCCTTCAAGGTACCTTAACATAACTTTTAGAGCTTGTGATATATTCAAACTTGTGGATTTGGTTAGTGAAAGAAATATTCTCAGCTCTAATTCAGGTGTCTTCAGTTTTCAAATATCTTAGGCTCCGTCTATCGACAAGGTAACGTGGTGTTCAGTGCTGATGGCGATTGTGTAGTGAGTCCAGTGGGTAACAGAGCATCTGTTTTTGACCTTAAAAAGTAAGCTTTAGTATGACTTTTTAAAATCGTAAACATACAAATATTTTGTTTCATCAGTTTTGGCAGTGGTGTATAATTATTCTAATTACTTGCAGTGCCAAAACACTCTAGTTTTGTGATTAAAAAAAACAGTGAATAGGGCTCTACTTAACAAATAGAGAAGCCTTGACTGTGCTCTGTCCTGTTGTAAAGCACGCAGGAAGTGGCTAGAGATGTATTCGAGTGTTTCTCCCCACCTCTTGAGTAGGGAGAAGATTGCATGCACATAAAGATTGCTTGGGATGACAGAGCCATAAAACTTGGCTACAGTGGCTGATGTGGCTTTGTGTTCAATGCATTAGAAAGGAAACCAGAGCAAGCTCTTAGTTGTCCACTCAAAGAGTGGCCAATGTAATTTCTGAGGCTTGCTTCACTGCGAAGAATGAAGGTGGTCATGATGAGCTAACTGCAATGCACCTCAGCATGATTAAAGTCGCTGTGACACTGGCATGATTAGTCTGAGTTTTTAGGTTACTTCCCACCTTAAGAGGCCAAAAAAATTGATTTTTCAGTCATTTGACTAACTGGCTTCAAACATTCAACCCAATGTTTCTATTAAAAATTTCTGAAATCTTTAAAAGCACCCAAGGTATTTAGAAAAACGTAGTTTCAAATGAAAGTTAATAAATTAGGAAGGTGTTATGATCTTGGACATAGGCAAATTCCCTGAGGGAATTTTCATGGCAACCACTCATGATGGGGCTCGTTTTTTATGGTATTTCCATAGTTTGTTTACATTGTGCCCTTTACGAAATTCACATGAGGAAGCTCTTTGCTTATGGGAAGAATTCTGCTCATGGAAAAAATCAAAAGCAGAAGAAAAAAAAAAGAAACGCCCAAAGAAGAAAGAAAGGGTATTATTCTGTCAAGAAAAGAAAGAAATTCCTTTGTCAAAGTGACTTGTACTGGCAGAGCTCCATGCTGGTGTCCAGATTTTGAACAAAGAAGTCACCATCAAACCAAAACTTGCCATATCTAATGTTAAAAATGAGTATCTAGTACCAGCCTTGATATGAAAACATTAACAATTGCCTCGAATCATAATTATGAAAGCTTTCAGTCAATTTGTTGTCTTGCCCCTTAGCACATTTTGTGGTTTTTCCATTTTGCCTTTGCCTTTGGCAACTTTGCTCATTATTGTGTCATCCTCCTCAATGCCCCTCTGAGAATTTGAGATTAAAAAATGTGCCTGCCATGGGTTAATTTTCCGGGAAATCTTGATCCATCGTCATTGATGCCAGGAGGTCCCTATTGGGTTATGGTTTCAGGAGGTGAGGGTTGCAGGTTGTTTGTGAACCTTTATGAGCTAAAATCTTGCATTTGATTTTGTGAGGAATACAACCACTTTGAGCAAATTTTATGGGGTAAATAGATTTGACTGATTTTTGTCAATTTCATTTTTTCAATTGTCAAAGAACATTCCAGGAATAATGACAAAGGAAAGTATGTTGTGAAATTTTGATATTTATTTTGATATTTGTCCTATGGTGTCCATTTATGCAATATGGCCCACATATTTTTAGGTACTCCAACTTTAGATGCTGATATCTAGACAACCAGTCAGAATATCAAAAAAGTCTGACACACTTTCATCAATTGATGCCATGTAAATAAGACTGTGCAGCCATTTTGCTTGTGCTGCAGCATCCAATACCCGATAAATTCAAAAGAAGAACCTGCGGTCATTTCATGCCTTACCAGCTCCTGACACTTCTGTAAAAGAAAATTCGCTTTAATTATATTTTTATCATAATCTGCAATTAATAAGCTTTCTCCTGATGTATAGAGCCAGTTTGGCTATATTTTTCATCATTCCTTTTTTGTTATGTATTGTGTTTTGAACACGTAGCTTTAAATACTTTAGGAGTGTTAGCTGTGTGTGATTTTTATTACCATACATAAGCTTGCTATCTAAATGAGTGAGAAAACCTTTAAACTCAGACTGTCCATTTCCTATATAATATCTAACTAACTGAAATAGCAATTAACTTTTAAGTTGAAGAGGACTTCTAAACAGAGAACTGCACCTAGCCCAACTGTAGTAAACTGAGTTAAAAAGTAATAATATGCAAAAGAAGCTGGCTTTACAAGAAGACTGCAAAACTGTGTGGTGTGAGAAATGTATAAAAAAGATGTAACTGACAAAGAAAAACATAACAAACTTACCAAAAAACACGAACAAGAAGCTATAAAAAATTAATGTATAAAAAAAGTAAATTCAACACAATGCAAAACAAATAATAAACGAGTGATTTAGATCTCATACTTAGTATTCGACAGCTGTGACTGGCATATTTCAAAGATGTGTGCCCCTTTTCAATGGTCATTGGGACCCTTACCTCAGGCATTTATATTCCTTCACTCCTGTTGATGTTGTTTTTGATGATGTAGCCTTCAGTGAATCACCTCTTTTTACCTGGCGTGGGTAATATTGGCTATCACAATCAATCAATCTTGGTTACTGCAAAGCAAATGGTTTCTGGTGTTGTGAGTGTGATACAAAATGGCTGAGGTCTGTGTCTTAGCTAGTCAGATGTCTTTTACGCTGATTGATTTTGTCAGGCACATGTGCTCCAGTTTTGCTAATGTTAACCTTGCAGCATGCACAAGAATCTTGTAGTGCTGAGTCAATCTCTTTTTGTTGATGTTGGCTTAGTCTCTGACTAGTGAAAGCATGTATGCCTTATTACTACAGGCAGGGGTAATGTTGTTTGAATAGCCCCTGGAATATTTAAAGCTGCAGTGGATTTGAACTCAGTGGTGGGCCCAGGGGTGCCTGTGTCTTCAGTTATTGTGAAATGCCTAGGTAGTGAGAGGACAGTGGCTATAGTTTCAAAGATTGTGTGATCTTGTTCCCTATAATTTGCTAGCTGCTGATGGTAAATATCATGTGTGTTGGGTAACTCAGCATAAAATATTACATATGAAAGGATACAAGATAATGGCTGAATAGATAGATTAATTACATGCAAAAGTGTTGATATAGTACACAATCAGGCTTTAAGATGCACGAGTCTTGTGGATCTTTAGTAGAAACAGTAGATTTTAGTAAGTTGTTTATGTTGAGGTTTGGTCCCCTAATTACATATGCAAGGTAAAAGAGGAGATCTTTGTAAAACCTCTCCTATCAAAATCAACAGTGATGTTGCCATGCAACAGCAAACTGCTGAAGGAAACGTCGTTGAAATGTGCTAATCACAATTGCTAGATACAGCCAATCTGAGTGGAGCATGGTGCTTCATATGGTAATATAACCAGTAAACCCACCTCAAGAGGACTAGCAGTAATGCAGTTAAAGCACTATGATCCATTAAGGGTATCTCAGTCGCTGCATCTCAAAGAAGTTTAGAGAAGTGGGAGAGACCTGACTTAAGCATTTTTTATATAGTATTTTCTTGATTAAACATCAGGGCCTCTGATACTTTTAGTGGTTCCCATGTGGCATTTTATTTAGGGGTAGCATTTATCCATGTGTAGCTTTTACTCCAAAATCAGACTGATATGCCTTTTCACCATTAACTTCAATAGCAACAGATCATGGACTCTTCCTTTTGAAAACCAGAAGAACATATCAAGAATTAGTTTGTCTCCAGATGGCAGGACAATTATTGCAGTTGATGAAGGTTTGTACATGTACAATATATAGAGAGTATACAGTTCTAAATTATGGCCTTTCCAAACAAGGTTTTTCCCCCCCTCTCTTCTCTGTTTGTGATTTAAATGTAGTACTTTGTTGCTGTTATGAACTAAGTCCTTATCTCAAAACTAAGTTTCATGGTGGTTGTAAATATATCTTGACATGTATAGCTGCTGGTCAGTTAAATGCTCTTTTGAAAGACTTTTTCCACAAGGCAAGGCTCTAATTATAACCCATTTGAAACATGACATCTGCAAAAGTGACAATGAGGGTTTCTATATTTAATTACAGATGGACGGTGTCTTCTAGCGAATTTGAAATCAAAGACTGTTCTTCATCGTTGCAATTTCAAAAAGCCTGTTTTTGATCTGAAGTTCAGTCCATGTGGAAGGTGAGTACTAGGCTTGCAGAGGGAGCTAATGGGGTGTATGTTTGACGGAATTTTATTCTGTAATACAAACTATGTGTTGTATATATTTTTGCACTAGTGGGGTTCTTACTATGCCTGAAAACTGGCCAAAATCCACCAACCCTAAGAAACAGGCAAGTGGTGTCTAAAGGTATCGGAAATTCTGCCTTCACTGGCTTATTGGACCACCATGTGTGTTCACAATTAAAATCATTCATGTAGATGCCTATAGTAGTGGTTGTCTTCTTAGATACGACTTTCTTCAGTTGTATCATACCCTTGGTTTTCATTTTGTAAAATTTAAGGGAAAGTTACTTGAGGAAGCTGTTGAGGGTCTTGGTCTCTTCAAGTTTTTATTTTTTCATATAAAATTGTATGACTCTCCCTGACTGTCACAATTCGTTCAATAATGGGTTGACCAATAACACCAAAGTAGTGAATGATCATATAATTAAATAAAAACATGAATGAAGCCTTTAAGACTCAAGTAGCTCCTATTTGTGAACCATCACACTTTTTGGGGTTGGATATGGAGCTGTCCATGAATTTTGTGTGGTAAAGTGAAGTGGTACCTGGACTACACTTGAATAATTCAAGATGGATGTGTACAGTTATTGGTGGTTTAGCTCTTAAAGAATCTGATTGATATGTCACCCTTCAATCAATCATTGCGAAAAGACTAAAAAGGAAATCTAGTCTTTACAAATTGGTGGTGGATCTTTTTTTTTCTAGGTTTATTGCAGTAACACATGGGAAGCATATCAAAGTGTGGCATGCTCCCGACCAAAGTAAAGAGTTTGCACCCTTCTCTATCCATCAAACCTACACAGGGCTTTATGATGATGCTGTTTGTATTGACTGGGCATCAGGCTCAAGGTACTGTCACTAGTTTCAGGACTATTTGCAAATAATAGTTCTTTTGATGAGTGTATTTATTTATAATTTAAAGACATTCAGGTATTACAATCAGTAACAGTGCTAACTTTCCTAAGTTATGAAAGAAAAGCAGTTACTTTTGTTCCAAAGAAATGTTACACTTTGATAACTGGAAATGAATTTTGAACAGTGGTGACAGCCAAAAGTCAAAAGTAGTTCAGTAGCTATATTACTGTACATGTGTCAATCACATGGGAGTGTAGTTTTTGGAATTGATCGATACAAATCATGGGGTAGACATTTTCAATTTTCCCTTTTTTTTTCTTATTTTCCTTTTTATCTATTTGTTTGTTGTTTATTCACTTGTAGACTTCAGGGGTGAATGTCACAAACATTACTGTTAGACATCACACGGCATTTCATTTGTCAGACTTTATGTTTCATAGCCCCGAACATCTACATATTTAGAGCCAGTCAAAATCTCCTGATGATACTTACTTTTTGGGGTTCCAAATAAGAATTTCAGCTAAAATGCATTAGAAAAGTACTTCTAAAATGACTTTGTCAGTAGACAAAGAAGAAGTTGTTTGTAATTCTTTGTCTATGTTAATTACTGAATTAATTATTGTTTTATGAAGTGTTCAGTCAATTTTTACCATTCTAGGTTCAGGTTCCTGAAGAGTAAATTATTAACTAAAAGCTGTAAAGTTTTTAATTAATTTGCCACAAACAGCCCTTTAATCTGCCTATTTTGGGACACAACAGTTCAGCCTTAACATTTTGAAAGTCTCATTTCATGTCCTAATCCTGATCTATGAGTAAAGGGGTAAGTTTCTAAAGAAACTGTGGTGCTGCATCGGTGGGAGAGTAGAGCAGGTAATTTAGTGTTCACAAATGAGTTGAAAACGTAAATTAGCCACCGTAATGGGTAAAAATGCTGATTTTTCGGGTGTTAGCCCTTTGTCAGAGCAATGAGTAAGCCTAGTACTTACCTTCCACATGGACTGAACTGCAGATCAAAAACAGGCTTTTTGAAATTGCAATGATGAAGAACAGTCTTTGATTACAAATTTGCTAGAAGACACCGTCCATCTATAATGAAATATAGAAACCCTCATTGTCACTTTTGCAGATGTCATGTTTCAAATGGGTTATAATTAGAGCCTTGCCTTGTTAGCCTTTCGTCAGAGCTGAGAAGCGATTGTATCAATTAAGTTCTCATTTTGTTGATAGGTTTTTTGTGGTTGGCAGTAGAGACATGACAGGTCGCATCTTTTCATTATTCCCTGTGAAGAATTTTGTTCCAGTGACCCTGTCAGGACACAGAAATACTGTAATAGGCTGTTATTTTGAGGACAAATCATTAAATGTATCCTTTCTACCTACTCCATCTGCAGAATTTATGTTTGGAAAAATACACAGTAATATACTCTAAAAAGTGCATTAGATGAATGAATTTAAGGTGTTTGGCAATATCCAGTGCCAACCTTTGTGTAGCATGGCCCTGACTTAATCTAAAGGAAACAGACAGTTGAAAATGTAATTTTTTCTTGGGTGTATTTCGCAATTTGCTAGGTGTGCAAAAACTGATGGAGTACCCTTAGAGTTCTTGGCAATAAGTGATTCACAAAAGATGAAATATTCTTTTAGTGATTATCTTTATTTTTATCAAAATTAAAATACTTTTTAAAAAAAATTTGGATGAATAGTGTCATAGGTTTAGCTTTCTCGTAGCATGTTTCACCCACTGGTACCCCCTGTAAATGAAAAGGCTCAAGGGGAATCAGTGGAGGCAAGGAGAAGAATGAAACAAGTTTTGTTGAGAGAGAGGGTGGAGCTTTGTTTGACATGAACGGATTGTCAAGTGTTTATTTGCCCCTTGAGATACTTTCCTGGAGATGCTGAGAGCAAAACCAGAGAAAAACCAGTGGTTTCAAGTGTAAAAGAAATGTTTTGTCTAACCATTTCTCATGCTCAAGCCCTTGTGGTCTTTTTTCTTAAGTTTCCTTATAATTTGTGAAATTCATCAGATGAAACAACAGTGAGGTAGAATAAACTAGAGAAATCCTTTATGGAAATATTCCTGAAAACGTTTTTAAAGATAACTTGTCAAAATCAAGAAACTTGCTTACTTTTGGTTCTGAATACTCTCCATGGCTCTCCATGGCTCTCCATGTGCCTGTGAGTGGTTAAAGTATATTAGGGAATATGACATTTAAAGGTTGGTACTTGACATGATTAAACAAGACATACACAGTGAGTCGTGATGGGGCCCTATTATGTTGGAAGTGCCAGGGAAGCCTCAAGGATTCACAAGTTTCTTCCAGTGAAACAGATTCCAAACAAGGTAACATCTAGTCTATCCCTATTTCTAGATGTTATTAAGCAGTATGGTAATCCTGACACCTTTAAAAGGAAACTTGAGTAACTTTCAGTAAATGTTTTGTTGGGGAAGTCAACCTTAAAAAAGCGCTTGGCTTGGTTTTGAACCATGTTGGGGTCCTGTGGGAATTTGTTGCACTGATTGGTAAATTTGAAACAGCCTGCATGCATCATGCAAAATTCCCTTTTAAAAAAAAGATGTAAACTGCTCAATGAATTTTGGCTTCAGTCCCTTGAAAAGTACTGTAAAGCGCATTAGAACATGTTCATATAGAGAATGCACTATACAAACTCATTATTTTCAGAGATAACAATTAATCTGTTTAATTTTGAATTTTTATCTCGATCCAAAATTAATCACATACACATGAGTGTGGTGATATTTTCACACTTGAAGGTCATAATGACTTTTCATCGTAATGTTTGTTTATCTCATCAGTGTTTTCTTGTCCTATGCAATTCAAATGTTAAGCTATTATAGGGTGCTCTAGTTAGGTGACTAGACTCATATTTTTTTATCAACCATCATATCAATCTAATTAGTGTTTATGATTATATAACTCAGCAGATGATACATAGTTTTCCCTCTGTTTTTGCAGGTGATGAAATTTCTCTTCACTGGAAGAAGAAGGCTAAGTAAGCAAGAACCCACATTAAATAACTATTTCCTCTTTTTTAAGTACAATGCAAATTTGGAGATCAACTGTGTGGCTTTACCCTCACATATTTAGGATCTGTGGTTAGTGGGTTTGTTTGTTAACTTTGTGGGTTCATTTGGTCTCTAAGAAACCTTCAGCCACATGGTCTTAAATAAGGGTGCTAAATTACATGTATTTATTTTTGCTAAGCATAGCTGGCCCCTATCATGAAAGTGATTATTTAAAGGCAGAATTATACTCCTAATTTTGTGTAAATGCCTAATGGGAAAATCGAATGCCTCAGCCAACCTTAAAGGATTGAAAGTAAGCTCAGTGTTCTCTAGGTGAAAAGCAATTTACTGTCATGTAAGTGAATACCAATTTTCTAATCTTGGGCATACAGAGTCATCAGATCCTCCAAAGAGGTCAAAAATCAGTTGTTTTTTTTTCAGGTGTTGTGTTCTCAGTTTTTTTATTGGTTACACTTGAATAGTCTCTGAGAGGCTTGATGGGTAACACGTGAGACAAATTGCTATAGTCTAACATATTGTGGTACAATGTGTGACCATTGTACTGTAAGGGAGTTAACCTCCTGTTTCCCTCTCTCAAATTACTTTTTAGTTTTCTCTGTACTTCCTTTTTCTTCAGAGTGAGTTTTGTGTAGAGTTCAACATTGTATAAAGGGGAGGAGCTGTTTCTAAATTAAATGAGAACTTTTTTAATCAAATGAAAGGACTTTGTCAACAACCTTATTACTATCAAAGTTCCAGATACCTTTGTTATTTATTTCTTGAAACCACACCATTAGAAGGGGTTTAGTTTCTGTGTAGGGAAGAAGTGTTTTAGCAATCATACTCTGCTATTTTGCCTCATACATGTCTTTGAAACCTCTGTTTTCTACTTTTAGATCATATTGAGCAATTTCTTTGCTCCTAGGGAATTAGAATACTATACATGTTTTGTTTATAGATAGGTGGGCTTTCCTTAGTAGGGATAAAATGATAAGCTTAATGTGTAAAATGTACTTCATTGCATTATTTTATTGATTATAGGCACTACTACAATCAAGGCAGCTCTGCTGAACTGACAACAACTGCATTTCACAAGGCCTCCCAGCTCCTAATAACTGGATTTCACACTGGCCTGTTCACACTGCATGAATTACCAGACTTCATTCTTATCCACACCCTAAGGTATCATGTTTCATATATTTAGCTAATGAAATTTGTATGCAGCCAATGAATTTATTTAAAGTCTGGTTCAGTTGTGTTTTATTTTCATAACACATTTGAATTATGAATTAGGCATTAAATAGTGTTTTTTGCAAGTCTGTCTGGAAATTTTCATTGTGAGGTGTTGAGGCTTTAGTAGTTCTGCCACCAGTGTAAGCGTCTTTTACCATCTCTAGATTAACACAGTCATCTTTCCAAGAAAAGATGACTTTTTCAAGGTGGAAAACTTTCCTTAATCATGAAAGTGAGGATTTTCTCTGTTTAATGTGACCAACTTATTTTCACAGCATTTCACAACAGGCTATTGAAACAGTGGCTGTCAATAGTAGTGGTGAATGGCTTGCCTTTGGATGTAGTAACATGGGTCAGTTGTTGGTTTGGGAATGGCAAAGTGAAACATACATACTAAAACAGCAAGGTCACTACCATAATATGAACACCATGTGTTACTCTCAAGATGGACACTTTGTTGCAACTGGAGGTGATGATGGCAAGGTTGGTCCTTTCCTTTTTCAATCATTTTAAATTTATGTAGTACAAGCTGATAATTTAGATTGGCTATCTGTGCTTCTGCCTGGAAGTATAGGGCATCAACCTGAGGGTTCCATTCATAGGCAGTTATATACAGTTGATGATTTTCTCAGGCTTCTGGAGTGTACATGTATGCCCTTCCATTTCCATTTTCTTCACTTAATACTTTTGTCTATATGGCTTTGTTGTGTCCTTTCCCATAGGTCTTCATTTGGAATGACCTCTGGCCATTGAATTTTCAGAATCTTTCATAAACACTTATCAGATACTTATCTGAAATTTCTTGGTCAGTAGTTTTGCCTGTCTCCACTTGTCCAAGCATTGTAAAGGACAGGTCTTTATTGAAAATACTGAGCTTTGTTCAAAATCTGATGACTTGCACAAGCAATGTGAATTGCAGTTGTGCTCTCCTTCTTTTGATGGATGTGTCCTTGTCAGTTCCATCAGTTTCTCAGATGACAGCCCCAAATATGTGAACTTGAACCGTCTGTCAACAGCTTTCCCATGATGTTCCAAAGATTCCTGTTGTCTTGCACCCAGTTCCATCTCCATTTTATTCTGGGTGTTGATTTTGAGCCCCACCTGTTCTCCAATCTTCTGTAAACTTTCTTTTTTCACTTTAGAGCATTCTGCTGGTGTGTTAGCAAGGATAATTGGTAGAATCCTAGTCTTCCAGGGGTTGGGTCAATGTCCACTGGAGTTCCTTTATTTTGAATTCATAACACCTCTTTACTGTCCAGTGGTTTGATTGAGTACTTGTGGACCTGGTATCATGAAACGCTAAGAAAATCAAATCACATGAAATTTATTTGTCACTGTTTCTTTTGCTATCAGGCTAGGCTGTCTGTAAGTTTGTTCTTACTTCTCTTAACTGGCTCTCAGCTAGAGGCATATTCAGACCCCCGCTTTATGTCAGATCATGTCTCCGGCCTGTAAACAGTGGTAGTGTTTCCATAGGTTTTTAATCATTTGTTTGTTTCCAATTTTAGGTTAAATTGTGGAACATGATGTCAGGTTTCTGTTTTGTAACATTTAACGAACACAGCTGTGCTGTTACGGGTGTTGTATTTACACCTAGTAGTCAAGTACTGTTTAGTTGCTCCTTGGATGGCACTGTCAGAGCATTTGATCTCCATAGGTACACTTTAAATCACTCGTTATGATAATTTTTTTGGACATAATTTGTTAAAAGTTAAATGCAAGGGAAATACATGTTTAAGATGTGTATACATTTACATTGTAAAATATGATTGTATAATTCATCAGTAATTGTACACCAGAGATGTCAGTTTCACAGGGTTGTAAGCTGGAAAAGCAACTTCCCTCTCAACCAGGCCTGATAATGCCAGGTTCCCTCCACATTCATGATATGATTCTGACCCCTCCTCCTCTTTAATCTTTAGAGGTACATACAAGAGTTTATTTTACCTTTTTTGTCCTGTCTCATTGATGACATGGTTACCTACTCAGCCATCAATAGTTCCTTTGTTATTTGTACTGTCACTTTCAAACAAAATCAAATGTTTCTAATCACAGTGACTTTTTCTTTCACTAAAGCTAACTATACATCCCTCTTTATTTATGAAGAGGCTACAACAATTTGGTGTTGAATCAAACAAATGTATAATATACAATTATTGATCTTAGGAAAACAACCAAGTTATGTAATCTAGTAAATTATGAAGGGTTGACCACACATACACATTCATTGCCAAATTGTTAACTCATTTCCTTCTTCCTCTGGCGTTGTTTCTCTTAACTCTCCACTGGTGTTTGAAAACATTTAGATTTTAATGCAATTCTGTCTACCGTCCAGACTTAAACACCTACAAATGCAGATGGAAGGAAATGAACATTGCCTTTTTTTTCATTGTCAAAATTAAGCCTCATTTTCATTTGTCTACACAAGAAATGGAACCAACATTGATATTTTCCAGAAGAGTAAATTTTTTTGAAAGGAACTATTTTCATGGGCCTTTTCAGGCATTTCATTGTGGATGATAAGCAATGTAAATAAATAAAAAAGCGAGTATTTTCAAAAAAAATGCACGAGTGTGGATGTGGCTCAACACCTAATTTGATGAATGTGTTGGAAAATTACAACGAGATTTTTTCTAAGAGAGGAAACATTCATTTTTCCTTCCAGATACCGAAACTTCCGTACATTTACTTCACCCCAAGCAGTTCAATTTTCATGTGTGACTGTTGACAGTAGTGGGGAAGTTGTCTGTGCTGGATCTCTTGACACATTTGAGATTTTTGTTTGGAGTGTTAAGACTGCACGTCTTACTGAGGTATGTTACTGGCTAATCAATGTACAAATGATATAAGTTAAGAGGTCTGATGTCATTAAAAATGAGCATACTATTAGATATTATGATTTTGAGTCCTATTTTAAAAGACATGATGTGTTTGTTGTTTTCCACACTCTGAATAGGAATTACATGCACTCTGAATTGATCGAACTTACTTTCACAAGGCTGGAGGTTTGAAACTTAACATGGTATTTGACATGAGGACACATCTCTAAATTGAAGTGGTAGAAAAGTGAAATGTTGCAAGTGTTTTAGTTCTCTGTGTTTCCTCTTAAATGTAGTCATGTTTAACAATGTAAATTGGTTATACCTTGAAAGGTGCTTTCTGGACATGAGGGACCTATTTCTGGACTAGTATTCAGCCCATTGCAACCACTACTTATATCAGGATCCTGGGACAAAACCGTTAGGCTCTGGAATATGTTTGATAGTAAACTTTCATGGGAAACCCTTAGTGTGGAATCTGATGGTTAGTAATAAATTAGTAAGTACTAAAAAACTATGATTTTCACAGATTTACGTGTGTGTTAGTTGTTGGGCAATTTAGAGTCACTGTAACAAGTATTCAAACCATATTTACCTGACATGATTAGAAAACTCCACCTTAGGTTACTTGAACAAATCAGGGCAAAAGAATTAATGTAGTTATCCAAAGAAGAAGTTCTATGTGAATCATCTTCTAGAAAAACTGTGGAAAAGAAGAGTTTTCCAATCAACTATACATCATGCAAAAGAATGCTTCAATTTTTACAGAGGAAAGAGTTTTTTTTTCACTTCTAGTCAGTGTTGGGCTTATAATTAGGAGCTGTCTATTTGGTCTTGTAAACAGTTTCATCAGTGTGTGTGAGTCCTGATGGCACTCAGGTGGCTGTTGCATCGTTGGATTGCCGCATCACATTTTTTGACATAAGAGCGGGAGTTGAAGTAGGAACAGTAGAAGGGCGTAGGGACCTTGCCCTCGGAAGAAAACCTTCAGATAAGATTACAGCAAAATCAATGGCCTCTTCAAAGTAATAAGCATTGAACAGTTTGTATTATTTTTTATTCAAGACTGTGTGTGTTTTGTCTTGTAATGATTCTGCAAAAGGTTGAAATCTCAGTGAAGCAGGTTTTCAGTGGCTGAAGTCTCTTTGAATATCAGTGTTAATCAAGGGTTAAACCAGGGAGAATGAATATTGCCAGAATAGAAGACATTAAAGAAAAAAACAATAGCAATTGCAAAATGTGATTGAATCTTTGGGACCTGCTTCAACTCAGTTGATAAATTATTATAAGTAATTTTGAGTGCAATTAGGTGTTAATAAGCATAAGTAAGTTTTTCAAAGACAACAAAATTGCATGAGCCCGGAGGGTGAGTGAAATTATTGCACCAAATTGCAAGATAAATCATGTTATTATTTGCTAATAATGTACAAGAAAAACACATTACAGCAAGGCAAGACAGACAAAATTTTGAAGGCATGTGCATGCTATTTATAATTTGCACGTGTTACAACTTTGCACTTGTGTTACATGAGAATGCACTTGTTTTCAGCCAATAAGAAGCATATGATTTTTTCATTTACATTATTATAGATAAAACCACTCCAGTATGTAATATAAGCATAAAAAAATTGGTGCCAAAATTTTTGTTTTGTGGAAAGTTTGTCTGTAAAAAGAAATCAAATAGCTGCCTGAAAAGAAAATGGTGGGGAATTCACAACACCAAGCAGTGTTCTTAAAAATATTAACTTCAGTGTTAAAACAAGAAAACTATGACTTGGATTGATTAGAAACTTCATGTTGATGTGCTTGCATACACAGCTTAAGCATAGAATGCATAGAATAATGTAGTCAGTAGAATAGTTATGCTTAAGAATATAGAGGCATTAGCATCTGGGAGATGTAAGTTTTAAACCACACAGTATGATGAAGTCATTTGTGAAGTTGAGCAGCATTTTAATCAGTAATTTCATGGCCATTCACACTAGATACTTTACCAGTTTAAGCTACAGTGCTGATGGAAAATGTGTCCTAGCGGGTGGCAGATCTAAGCGTGTCTGTCTATATCATGTCAGTCAAAAGGTTAGTACATGACTTGTATAGCTTTTCCTTGATGATCATTGCTTTAATTTGCCTTTCACATATTTTGACATCTTTGAAAATAATTTTTCATATTTTGGTTTGCTATTTACATAGCTGTTTTAAATGAATTGTTAATAGTTTGGTCAATTAGAGATTATTCTTCAGCTCAGGCTCACTGACACATTTCTATTTTTTAGAGTTAGAGAAAAAATCTCATTGAGCATCACTTTCAAAAACTATGCAAATTAAGACAGATTCTTTTTGAACAAATTTATCAGAGCTGTATTAATGATAATTACGCCATAAAGAGACTTCTGGTAAAGTAGTTTCCATTCTAGCAAACCTTTTTCAAAAAATTAATGTATAGCTACATGTATGTTGAAAGTGAAGAAATTTTGGTCATTTGTAAACAGGATTGTGACACTTGATCAACTTTACTAGAATATGGGGATGGTTCTGGGTCATCATACATGACTTCACCTTTTTATTCAGTTTGAAGGATTAAACACTTTAAGGGTGAAACATTTACAATTTCATACTTTACTTTGTAACAGATGTTGATAAAACAATTTGACATATCTGGGAACCTCTCTTTGGATGGCATGAAGGTAAAAACTAAACCATGTTAGATTAAGAGCCATGTTATTCTCTAGCTATGCGGAGGTTTTTATTAGGTTTTAGAGCTGGGCCGGGTATCTGTATTTGGCACTCAGGCACAGCTTACCCATGGCTTGAACAGCCTTGCCCCTGCTAAGTGGTGTGCAGGTGTGATTCTCTTTCACTGCTCCACCCCCCACATGTTGAAGTTGAGTCTAACATTCTTCATTTTTCAAGGATTTCTCATTTCTCTAGATGATTGAATCATGATTTTAGGCATCAACCAAAAGAAAAATTCGTTTTCTAATGAATATTCATATATTTTTTTATGAAATCTTTTTAGTTCATGTATATTTTATTTTTGAGAGAATTCCTGGGAAAAACATGGGATAGTTCCTTAATAGTTTATGTGGTTGCCAACTTTTAAGAAGCCAGTAGTCATTGTGCTATAGGGCTTTTATATAAGTATTTTAACTTGTGAGTCTGTGACTTTTCAGAATGTTTCATATTCCTGCTCGGTGCTTTTAGCTGAGGTGAATGAAAATGGAGATTGCTTAAAACAATAGGGTAAAAGACAACGTGGAAAAAGTATTTTCCCGTCCCTAATACCTCTTACTCAGACCTCTGATCAGTTGAGCTGCTCTTGAGGTGACCAATTCTTTTAATGCTCTTTTAAGGACAGAGCCTAAAATTGGCATCCAAAATCATTTAGAAATATGCACAAGGCTAGAAACAAGTGGTGTAAAGCTTACTTCCAGTAAGCAAGCAAGTACATTTTTGGGGTATTATGAAATCAATTTTGGCACAAAGTCTGAAATTTTGAGGCGTGAAGCATTCATTGGTTAGGAAGTAAATGGGCTGAACTTTGCCTCTACTGTTCTTGTAGTTAAAAGCATTGAAATGTCACAAGTTTGTCATAAATAAAATGAATATTACTCTCTCCTACAATCAACATGAGTTTGTTGGAGATATCAAATCGGATTTGCTGCATGTCTGTCTTTTCAGGAGTTTCTCCATGGTGGTAACATGACGGAAGCAGGACCCATAGGCCTAATTGATGATAAAAGTGATAATGATCTAACCCCAACTCTTCCGGGTGTTTTGAAAGGTAACTTTTCTAAATGCGTAAGACCAGTAGTAGTTCATGCCACGACCATCATCTCCATGTGGGTTTCAGGCAATTTGTTTTTCGTTATCCATACCGATGATGCACATGACTAATAAGGAACACGAAGTCCTTTGATTTCTTGGGATATCAAATTCAGATGTCAATGCAGTTTAAACATAAGTTAGCGCGGAATCAGATGAACTCCTGGGAAGTCTGAATGCCTTGTTTTCCCCATATGTCAAATCAGACAACAATATCCTAATTCAGAATTTTTATATGAACATGGTTTACATTCAGCTTTTTAAATGAACATACGGGCCTACAATTAACTTTCTTCTAACGTTATTGAGTCGTAGCTCTCAAAGTTTACTGTCGATCAAAAGTTGATAGTGATGAACAACCGTAGCAAAGTTTGAAAAGATGGTGTTTTGAGTTCTAGCCCTGTATCGCTGAAAAGCTAAGGATTGAGGGGTAGGGCCTCGGGAATAGGAACTATAAACAAAAACTCTTATTATGTCAACCAGGCGAAAGAAGTATTATCTTTTGTACTACAATCTTCAACCGATAACCAAAACACAGAAATCGTATCTCAAAGATACACTGACAGACAAGCCTAATCAATTCATAGAAAGGACTTAGGCCCCACAAAGTGCAATTTCAGTATCTATGGATCTAACCAGCCTGTACACGAATATACTCTGAAGGAGGAAGGAATAGAAACCATACGCGGATTTTACGAGGCCTTTTACAAGGGAGAAACCTCAATGTCAAAAACAAGCTTCGAAGAGAACATCAGACACTCCAAGTTGCAATCACCCGAAAGGGGCTATCCCTATGACCTAGTTGAAAGAATCCTCACAGAGGTTGATTTCACTAACAGGAAAACAACACTTCAGGAGAAAAACAAAGCGCGACTAACCACGTTGCATTTTGTTGCACAATTTAACCCACCCACCAACACACTTATCTACACACTACCTATAATCTGTGTTATTTGAATGCAAAAATATGGTATTGTAAACGCTATTTCAAGGACATAGCTTTCTAATACATACCTGAAACGATGGTAAATAATTGTGACTTTTCTTTTCTAATTAATGTTCTGCTGGAGTAACGCCTCAGCAGTAATGCCTCGGAATTTACATCAAGAACTTGGTGTTTCACGCTACATACTTGTTGAAGAGTTTTCAATAAAGTTTCTGTCTTATTTTCAGGTGATATGAGCTCTCGCAGGTTTCAGCCAGAGGTCAGAGTGAACTCACTGCAGTTTTCACCCACAGGTACTGTACCTGCACATGTTGTTTTTTGGTATGCCTTTTACGTAGGAATCGTGTTTGTAATCTGATTTGCATAACCTGTCAGCGACAATTTAAGTCATTGTGCAGAGTTAACATGACTGCATGTTGATCAGTATTTATTTTAGAGTTACATTCCGTAGACTAAAAAGCAGAGCTGAATGGTACCAAATACTCAACTCCAAAATGTAAACCTACTAATGTGGCAGAGAAAAGACACTGTTAGATACCATGCCGAACATTGTCAGCAAGAATAATACCAAAGGCATGCATCGAGCAGTAACAAAATTGCTTTGTGTGAGCCTGGACAGGGCAATCACTGTGGGATGCAGGGGAAGAAAAGTAACGTAGTTACCTTATCAGTCAGCCTTTTGAAATAAACAAATGATTATAAAAATCACATCAATATGACCACCATTGTGATGATGTGATATGAATAGGATGATCATATTAACGAGTTTTAATTATATTTAGGTAATGCTTTGAAGAAAAATCCAAACCTTGATATCTATAAACTTGGCAAAATTTTGTTTCACTTGAACAGCAAGTGGCCAAAAAATATTTGTAGTCTGTCAGCAACACAAATGGGTTGAAAACACCCTTTCATTTCTACCAAATTACCAAACTGTAGTCTCCATTCTTGCTGTACCACAAACTTAACTTTGCTCTCTCACAACGTTACTTCACACCTTTTTTCCCAAATGCACCTGTTTTACGGCCCAACTTATCATAACCGTTGATTTGTTTATCAAGACTTACTGAATTTTATGCTTCCACCATATTTTCTCTGTTTGCAATGAAGGCCAGTCGTGGGCTGCAGCTAGTTCTGAAGGGCTAGTGGTATATTCTCTAGAATCTCATGATGTGTTTGATCCATTTCAACTCGAATGCAATGTCACCTCCGAGAGGATCTGTCAAGCTAGTAGTAACAAAGAACATACAAAGGCCTTAATATTGAGCCTGAGACTGAATGAACCAGAACTCATTTGTCAAGTTATGGAGGCAGTTGAACCTTGTGACAGTAAGTTTTAATGATTTCAATATGGTGTCATTCTTATCCCCCATAAGGTTGATGAAAAAAGAATAACTAGATAGCATTGATTAGAAATTCTCAAGACAAGAAAGTTTGTTAAGATTTACTTTGTGGTTTCTTAACGTTAGTTGCACCCTGTGAGTTCTTTAGTATTACTAGTAGGAACGTGTTGATGACAACTTTGTTTATTTTAATAAAATATGTGCTTATTGTTCATCGTGGTGTAAGATAGGAGATGAACTTTGTTCGTTTGTCTCACGATAGAGTCACTTATGATGTAGATCGCGACGTTTCAACCGCAATACAGCTAGTCTTCATCAGGCTGTGTTGCAGTCAAAACGTCGCGATCTACATCATAAGTGACTATCGTGAGACAAACGAACAAAATTCATCTCCTAACTTCGTTTATCTTTGTTCAACATATAGTTCCACTGGTAACACATTCCCTAAAGGAGCCCTTTATCGAACGACTGATGCAGTTTATTGTTTTGCAATTGGAGGAGTCGCGCCACCTTCACTTCTATCTTTTATGGTGTCATTATATGTTAACTGTACACGGGCAACAACTGAAATCACAGGCTAGTGGACAATCTGTTTTGTTGCGCAGCCTACAAAAGAGTCTCGTGAGACAACAACAAGACCTTAACAGGATGTAAGTATCTTAAGCTCTCCTACTTAACCCGAGAATTGCAAAGGCTTTTCTTTTCTTTATTCACATACTTATGAGTTAACCGTGATGCTTGCTCTATCACTTTGTAGTTTTAGGAAAAATTATAATTTGTTCACATTCGTTGTTCATAACATTTTTAGCGTACTGAATCGCTTTGATAGTTGGGATATAGAGACAGTCGTAATCTTCTGTTGTTCTTTTATTCTTTCTTTTAACACTTAGTTGGGGTTTTAAGACCAGTTTAACAAGAGTATCACCGATAGCAACCAACCCTTTATAAGGCCAACCTCTGGGCTGCCTCCTGGTCCTACCATTGACGTAGAATTAACGTTAAAATTTAACATCAAGCACAAAAAACGCATTTTCAATCATAATTGAATTTTAAATTTATAGCGTTTTTTTTACCTTGTCCGGTGAATAGAAATGCAAAACAAAGGAAAAAAAAAAGACTCTTTGAGAGAAAATGCGAAGAAAATGCGAAGTTCCAGTCCAGTCTTTGCAAAGTTTTTGTGCATGTGTGTGTCTTCCATTACTTCACATATTTTACTCTTAAGTCTCTACTCATTTATAAAATGTTTCGATGAGATGTCTCATAGAGATGTCCGATTTTCTCTTGCAGATCATCCAGTAACACTTACGCCCTCAGCTACATAAAAGCCTTTGGCGACATGCTAAAGTCTGATAATACCATTGATCGAACCCTGGAAGTACCTTCGATCCTTGTGGGTAAAGAAGAGAAGAGACTGAACGAGAATGATGTTCATCAATCCTTCAAACACAAACCATCTTAAAATAATAAAAAGCACACACCTTAATTGCCTTTTTTTGTTTGTTTTTTTGTTACTGTTCATTTTTTGTTTTCCTCGTTTGTTTGTGTTTTTTTGTTGTCGTTGTTCTTGTGTGTGTCGGCGATGCTGAACAATAGAGCATCAGATAATGTATTTTATTTGCTTTGATTTCATTCATCGGTTGGTTTTTCCAAAACTTTTTAAGTCAGAAGTACTACCTTTGGATAACGGCTCGGAGTCTTACCTCAAAAGACTATCGGTTACCTTACGAAGGTCACTTAAACTCTGATTTTTAAACCTTAGATTGAATACCTGCAACCAGAGAAATTCGTTCAGTGTTATCGACCTTGATTCTCATGTTCTTAGATTCGTGTACTCATTTCTAGGAAGTATTAAAGGAATCTCTCAATTGATGTAAACTCTATAGGGTCCAATAGTACCAGCCGGCTTCCATGTGGAATATTTTCCGTTACTAGAGTCTCCGTAAAATTATAAAATCACTCTCAATAACCATTCTTTGAAACCAGTACTGATCTTTCCGTTATCGATCGAAAGCTGTCCACCAATAAATGCTGCGACGTCACTCTTATATCGCTTTGGCGATATCGCACTTGAAAATTCATTAGCTTTTATCTTGTGTTTTTATCGAGAAAATACTTATAGCTGACAGGCGGTTTCTGGTTCTTGTTCTTCTCTTTCCTTCGTCTGAACATCCAGGCTTGAGGTTTTCTGCACTTTTTGGGCTTAATCCACTCTAGCTTTTGCTCAAAAACCAGAAAGATAGTTTAAAAGTTATTTCCAAATCTGGAAGAGGGCTTTTGTGCCAAAGATGCATGAATCTTAAAGCAATTAATGAAAGATACAAATTGGATACTCTTAAAACGTCAAGATGGTCGAGCGAAATGAGGGCACTGTGTGTTTGGATACCAATTATACATGCAAAAAAAATGAAAGCCTTCCAGGATAGTTATAGTTAATATAAACTTTTTACATTTGAGATTTATTCGTGCTTCCCTTTGCTGATAACCCTGTACTGTGATAAAGCAATCTGATATCCACCCACCAACGTCTCTGCACCAACGTCAGAAAAGAGTGAGACACAGCGCTCAGATCGACTCCACTCTCCTAGAATTTAAATAATGTACCCGAGATGCACACTCTCTGAAGCCGGCGTTATAGGAAAAGGGCTCTCTGCGTTTTTGTTTTGACAGTTCAGGTACAAGTCCTAGTGGCTCAAAATGCAGTTAAAGACTGACAACACAGTTCCCAGACATTCTCCCTCGCCCAGCTTTTACCTAGCACTGAAAAAAGGATCCCAACTATTTACTGGCTGACAGTCCTGTTCCCACAAGGGTAACCGTCATGACAAAGTCTCTCGTTTCCCCCTCAAAAATTGGTTGTCAGTGGACAATGTACCTAGCGGCCCAGCCCGCTATTCCATCATCACGCTCATTTTTCACCGTATTCTCTTGTGATCCAGGAGGCCAACCGGCCAAATAAGGAAAAATGTTCTTTCAATAACGCTACGAAAAATTGCGTTTAGAAGCTCAGGAAAATCTCCTGAAAATCTTAAGAGAATATCAGACTTTGAAGTTGGAGTTGGAGTTGCTCGAGGTTGTCACGTTTTTAAAGGGCCCTGGGTAGAGTGAGACCATTACCATAGCAACAGACCGGATTTCCCATGGTAGCCATAGTTTACGTGAGAAGCGAGGAAAGTTTTTAGGAAAGTTTGTAGAAAGCGTTTCTGCATTTCAGCTTCATCATGTGAAACCAAGCTTCAAAGAGGAATTTCATCCGAAAGAGTGATACGAGGTACGGTTTTTCTTTCAAAGAGGGCTGTATTAGACTAAGATTTTCCTTCGTTTCGGTTCAAGTTGGAAACGATCACGGTAAACAAAGCTCTAGCAATCTACAAGAACAATGGGGACTGTCGCATGAAAAGGGTTACAATCGTCTGGCGCAGCCTAAGATCAGCTCAAATTTGTTGAAAATGTTTGTTAGATAAGACGCTTGAACTGTAAACACGATCTGCAGATAAACGTAGGCAAAAAATGTGATATCGCTTCATTTAATAGTAGGTACGCGCGATTTATGAAAGCTCTTCATCTGGTTACTCAGCTGAAACTTGCAAAACCGTGAAGGATCATTGAAGGATCCTGCGCAATCCAGGGCACACTCTAGTCGGGTTATCAGATATCCTGAACTCGACTTCGAGAAATATAGAAATACTGGGGTAATATAAGAAATATTCGCCCTCCGAGAGGATGCAAACAATTTTTTTGGCGCGCTTTTGAGAAAGGTTTTTTGGCAAGGAAATGCGTAACACTTTTCAAGTAAACGTTGGTTACACCAAGTAAACAGAAGTTCGCGATAGATATTGGTTGACAAAAATCCGACGGATTTAGGGGTGATTTATTATTCCACTGTCATTAATATCATCCTCTAGTATTGTAACTTTTTGTTTACAAAACACTTCCTATGGCCTTATCTGAGTATCTTACCATGCACATTCCTTTCACGTTTTTTGAATCTGGTATGATTTTTTTCTTAATTCATCAATCATATGATTTGTTCTTGCCATCTCAGATGTCCATGAGAAACGAGCAATCTCACCGCTCAAGCTCAGAGGGTAAGCTTCCTCGCCTTCCACCAATTGCAGCTCCAACTTCACCCAGCTCAAGGTTTGACAAAAGTCATCTAAGAACACACAGAAGGAGTGAAAACATGCAAGGGCTCTTGACAAATAAATTGTGAGTGATATTGAACACAAGTCAGTTATTTTTAAACGATGAAATAAAATCTGAGGATGGCTTTGTCGCAGTAAAACCTGTGTATGGAACTGATTTTCTAGTCAACATTGATGTCAAGGTATAAGCTGGCTCAGTGATTATACCAAAGACGTAAGACATGCTCTTGATAAACTCTAAAGACCAAAGTGAATGATAGGCCACATGTATATTTTATCTTTTGCATCTAACATTTTAAGGGCAAGGGTAATCCAAAAATCCTTAATTACCAGCATAAACATTTAGTAAGTAGAAAACCTAATCTTAAGTGTAGGTCTTTCTAACCTAGGTCTCTCTTACAGAAGTGCTCATTTTATTTTGTCCAATCATCATGGCAAACCCTTTCCATTTTACTGGGGAAGGGTATTATTACTTAAAATCATATTTGTATGCAGTGTGTTTTATCCACTGAGATTGTTCAGCAGAAATTTATCTTTGTGCTCCTTATGTTTGCTTTTATTTATTAGGTATGAAATAGCCTTAAAAGGCAAAGAAGATACGGAGGAAAGTCTGAAGAGAAGACCCATATCGGCTGGGGAACCTGAAATGCCTTCTCAAGTATGTTTATGTTCATTGCATCTATTGCCCTTTAAGAAAAATGTTTGACCTACATTGTATTTGCATGGTGTAAGGGGATCGAAGAACAAGGAAGCTTGCTGAAATCAAGCAAGCAATTAATTTAGGTAGTTTGAAATTCCAAAGGCCTAAAAGGTGCAATTTTGTCCATCAAACTTTATTCATGGAATATGTATTATTTTCATCACAAACCCAAAAAAAATATTTACTGGCTGGTACCAATGTTTGATCTAGATGAGATATTTTCATTCAACATTTTGCTTCATGAGCAATTGATTGATTTCAGAACCATCTCATGTTTTGGGTGCCAGATGAGATGTTGAATGAAAATATTAGAATGTTTAGGAAGGTGTTCAAGGTCTTATAGCAGCCAAGTCTGAGTAAGAAATCTGATTTCTGACCTCCAAAAATAGCATTTATCACCTTTGCCTTGGTGAGTCCTAACATGACCAGAAGGTGCACCAAAGGTGGTATGTATTTAAAAAATGAGTGTACTCATATCAACTGTCATGTATTGTTTCTGTTGTAGATGATGAGCACTGAACGGCGAATACGAGTAAGTGTAGTAAGTTTTTAATGTAAGCTAGTGCAGATATCAAGGAGGTAGTACATCTTGTGCTCTTTAACCAAGAACCTCAATGCATTGCTGGGAAACAATGACTAACAATACCAGTATAGCTTAACATACATATTTCCCAATTAAGTGCAGGCTTACAGACTTGCTGCTAGTCGAGATGGGGAGTTATGACTCAACTATGAAAGCAAATATATATGAGTTACATTCCTACAAATCTACTAATTATAGACCTGTAAATTACAAGCATTAACAGCTTAAGTTTTTGTTTAGTGGTATGAAAATACCAGGTTTTCTTATCCATAGAGTGAGAGAGACAAATACAAAAAAACCTTAAAAGCATGTAATCTGAGAACCTAGGATAATTTGTTCAATAGAATACATTGTAGCAAATGAAAAGTTAGGATTTTTCAAGTTCTAAGACTGATTTTCTGTTGTAGCTAAACTACCAATTCATGAAGAAGTGTGTTCAGGAAGGCCCTGTGACACCAATGGCTAATGAGTGGTGGGATACCATCTTAACTATGATTCCAGCAAAATTGGTCTTATCTCCACAACTGCAGCCACACATCAAGGAGTTATACGATGAAATCATTGCTGAGTATGACACCAGTATCAGAAAGGCAATGGGTACGTAGATATAACTGGTTGTGGTTGTCATCTTACTGTTAAAAAGTATTATAATAATTATGTAGAATAAATTTTTCTTTTTGTCCTCCAGTAGAAAATGTAACAGATGTAGTAGCATGGTCTAAACTTAAGTAAATGTTAAAAATGAATCAAAAGGAAGTCTCTGAGCTTTTGCTGATCCACACCTTACATACCATATCAAGCTTTCTCCAGCTGCTCCACAGAGTGCTTATGTACTATAGAGCCAACTGCCCCATCTCTGGTATCAACTTATGCCTCTGAAGAAATATAGTGTTTCAAATCACATGCAACCAATATAAACAATGTTACATTTGGAGCATTACATGATTCTTTCATGATCACATAATAGAACACCTCATCAATGACAATTCCCCTCTGAAAAAAACAAATCCATGTTTGCCAAAAGGGAGTTAATAAAAGCATTGAAGTCAAGATATTCTAATTAC